CATTCCCAGTCAAGAAATAAGGAATTATTTCTCTCTGTGCTAAAACATATGTTGGAAAGTAGGGGTAATCATGTTTCTAAAAAGGCTCTTGTGGAGTTTTATGAGTTTGTTTTAAGGGTTTCACCCTGGTTTCCTGAGGAGGGAAGCTTGTCTCTGCAAGACTGGAAGAAAGTTGGAGTGGAAATAAAAAGGTACTATAAAAAACATGGCCCTGAAGAAGTCTCCCCACCTGCTTTTTCAATCTGGTTACAGGTAAAGACATGCTTATAGATAAGACCAGGATGGAACAAGCTCCATCTGAAAATAATGATGAGACTGCCCCTTTAACATCTAGTAAAGGGAAAAATGACAAAAGTTATAATACTATAAACAAGGATGAGGTAGGAAGTGGTGTCAATTTGTTAGAAGCTTTACCTGATGATGATTGCTATGAAAATAACATTACTTGTTGGGAAACATATGAAGGGCAAATTGATTATGATGAAGGAGAGGATTGTTTTAGGAAAAATAAAATAAAAAGAGGTCCTATGGTGTTTCCCTCTGCTCCTTCTGCCCCTCCTCCCCTTAACAAGGAAGTAAGAAATAGAGCTCACCCCAGAGCTTTAGCTCCAGGATTTATGGGAGCAATACAAGAGGCCCGTCAGCAAGGTGATTCCTCTTTTTGCTTTCCAGTAGTTTTGTATGATGATGCTCCTCCTGATTGGGAGCCTCTTCCGCTAAAGACTCCTAAGGAGCTTCAAACAGCTGTCAAAACTATGGGACCATCTTCTCCTTATACTCTTCAAATTTTAGACACGGTAGGAAGCATGTGGTTAACGCCTTATGATTGGTTCCAAATTACAAAATCTGTCCTCAGCCCAGGACAATATATCTTGTGGAGAAATGATTATGAGATGGAGCTAGAGAAATAGTACAAAAATCAGTTGTTAAAAGGGGAGGCACTAAACCAACCATGGGCATGTTGATGGGAAGAGGTGAATATACTCCCTCTAGTCAAACAGATATACCTAAAGAAATGCTTATTGAAATATCAAAATTAGCAATAGCAGCCTGGAAAAGGTTACCACCAGCTGAAGGCAAAACCAGTTTTAGCTGGTATTCAGCAAAAACTAGATGAGCCGTATGAAGAATTTGTGGCTAGACTAGAAGAAGCCTTGCAGAGAATGCTTCCCCCCTCTGAAGGAATAGAGCTATTGCTCAAACAACTGGCATGGGAAAATGCAAACTCACTATGTAAAGAACTCATAAGACCCATAAGAAAGACGGGATCATTGAAAGATTATGCTAAAGCATGCATAGATGCCTCACCAGCAGTCATTCAAGGAATGGCATATGCTGCAGCAATGAAAGGAGAACCATTCAGTGCTTATGTACAAAAATTACATAAGACACAACCACAGATCGGAAATGGGGTCTGTTTCTCATGTGGCCAGTCAGGACACATGAGTAAAGATTGTCAACAAAAGCAAAGTAAACCTAGTAACAGTAAGAAGGGTAAAGCGCCTGGACTTTGTCCACGATGTAAGAAAGGCAATCATTGGAAAAATGAGTATATATCAAAATATCATAAGGATGGAACTCCCCTAACAGCAGAAGAAAAGGAGACAAAAAACGGGAAGAGGGGCGCTCCCTCAACCCAGTAAATGAAAGAGGGGAAACACCTACTGTTACACAAAATTCCCCTAAGGGATCAGTTCCATTAAATCCCTTGGCTCCTCCTTTTACAGTATGGGATTTGCCAAGAGCTACTCCAGGAAGTGCAGGGTTAGATCTGGCAGCAAAAAGAGATTACATTATCTCTATCATGGATGGTACTCAGTTAATAGACATTCAAGTTCATGATCCTTTAATTAAAGGAACTGTGGGCTTAGTAATTGGTAGAAGCTCAAATTATAAGAAAAATTTTGAGGTATTACCAGGAGTAGTTGATGCAGATTATCAAGGGGAAATTAAAGTAATAGTAAGGTCTTTAAGAGGAAATATACAAATACATAAAAATCAAAGAATAGCTCAAATCTTAATTTTAAATCTTCCAAACAAATCCTAAAACAAGATCGAGGCACAGGAGGTTTCGGTTCCACAGAAACTGTGGCCTGGGTACAATGTATTTCTAAGGATCGACCCATGAAAACTATAAAAGTAGATGGAAAACCTATTAAAGGTCTTTTGGATACAGGGGCAGACCGAACATGTATTGCAGGAAAAGACTAGCCCTCATCTTGGCCAATTATGAAGAGAGAATCTATATTAATGGGATTAGGTATGGCTAATAATGTTGCCCAAAGTTCAAAAATTTTAAAGTGGGAGTGTGAAAATAGATTTGGAAACTTTCAACCTTATATCTTCTTTGCCCTTTACATTATGGGGCAGAGACATTATGCAAAACGTGGAATTAAAATTAGTTACTTCAGATTCTTTTAGTGTACAAAATTTTTCATAGGGGCCACTGATGACAAGTTTGCTGATGCAATATCATGGAAAAATGATCAGCCTGTGTGGGTTGATCAGTGGCCCCTAACACAAGAAAAGATACAGGCTGTAGAACAATTGGTAAATGAGCAATTACAAAAAGGACATTTAGAGGACTCCAAGAGTCCTTGGAATACTCCAATTTTTGTAATTAAAAAGAAATCTGGGAAATGGAGGTTGTTACAAGACCTCAGAACCATTAATATCACCATGCATGACATGGGGGCTCTTCAGCCAGGACTTCCATCTCCTGTGGCTCCTAAAGGACATTATATAATTGTCATTGATTTGTAGGATTGCTTTTTTACAATAAAATTGGATCCTAATGATTCTCAAAAATATGCATTTAGTGTGCCCTCATGTAATTTGAAAAGGCCCTGGCAGAGATATCAGTGGAAGGTCTTGCCACAAGGCATGAAAAATTCTCCTACATTGTGTCAAAAATTTGTGGATAAAGCTTTATAAAAAACTAGGGAAGAGTTTTCTAATGCTTATATTATTCATTATATGGATGATATATTAATAGCTGCTGAAAGTAAACATTTAACAGAACAAATTTTAAAACATATGATTGAACAATTAACCAACTTTGGTTTGCTTATTGCTCCAGATAAAATTCAACATAATAAACCTTTAAATTATTTAGGAAAAATAATACATGATGATTACATCATGTCACAAAAAATGAGTATTAGGCTAGATAAATTAAAAACATTAAATGATTTTCAAAAATTATTAGGAAATATAAATTGGGTTAGACCCTATTTAAAAATTACCACAGGAGAATTACAGCCATTGTTTGGAGCCCTAAAAGGGGATTCTAATCCTAAATCTAAGAGACAATTGACTCCAATAATGTTAGAAAAAATTTCATTGGTGGAAGAAAAGTTACAACAAGCAAAAGTGGTCCAATTGGACTATAATAAAGATTGGGATTTTATAATATTAAAGACATCCTATACTCCTACTGGATGTTTGTGGCAAGATGGAGTTCTGGAATGGCTTCACTTGCCTCACACTCAAACAAAAATGGTAGTTTCTTATGTATACTTGTGCAGTCAACTCATTGTCAAGGCAAGGAGTAGGTCCCGAGAGTTATTTGGGAAAGAAATGCATAATATAATTATACCTTATAATAAACAACAATTAGAAATATTATTACAAAATGATGGTAATTGGTGATTAGCATTATTAAATTATACAGGACAAATAAAATTTCATGTTCCTCAACATCCTTTATTAAAATTTGTGGAAGAGGTAGAAATCATTTTTCCATTAGTGGTAACCACAACACCTTTAGAAGATGCCTTAACAGTTTTCACTGATGGGTCCTCAAATGGAACTTCGGTGGTATACATTCCAGATCACCCCCCCTATTATTACAAGGGCATCTGATATATCAGCGCAACAGGTGGAAATTATTGCTGTAATTTTAGCCTTCACCACATTTCCCCAGCAGCTTTAACATTTACACGGATTCTAAGTATGTGGTTACCTTATTTCCAGCCATAGAGACAGCTCTTTTATCAGGACAATCAAAACTTATAGACTTGTTACAACAGTTACAAAAATTAATTCAACTTAGAAAAGAAAAAATATCATCTGTAATGCACCAAAAAAAAAAAAGAAAGAAAGAAACCTTCTAGACTTGCATTCGTTGGCACAAGGATACAGGACTTGCAATAGAACAGTAAGAACACTTGGGTGAGGACCACGGAAGGACGGACAGACTGCCGAGCTGGGACACCAGCTGAAGGGTTAAACAGAAAGCACAGGGTTACATGCATCCCGTGTGTACACTGTCAGCTGTTGCTATTAAGACTAAAAGGAACTGTGAAATTCCTCCCGTGTTCATCCTTTCCCTGACATCTCTCAGAGGTTGGCAAATCGTTTCCAGTATTAGTGTGCACATAAACATGCAAGTCTCAGTATGATGAGAACATGTGTTCTTGCTCCCTCCACCACCACACCGAAATTTTAGAAAAGGAGAGTTGGGCCAGGATTGGGCCAGGGTCACACTGCAACTCTAGTGGGTCCAGGATAAGATACAACTGGGAGAGGCTCTCACTTCTGGTGTGGGTTTTCTGCGAGGACTGTGGCTTCCTGGTGGTCATTGGGAGCATTCCTTAACCTGGGGAAGTGACTTGACCCGAGACAAATGCGGCCGGATTAGACCAGCCATCCAGCCGCATCCCAGTCGGCTTCTCCCAGCTTGATCTCAAGCCAGACCGTCCAGTTGGTGGCAAAGGAAGCACCCAGACTGCCCAGGGTGTAGGAGAGGGCGCGGGGCGGGGCGGGCTGCGGCGGGGGCGGGGACTGTAGGCTGGCGCTGTGTAGCTCCCCGAAGCGCAGGGCTGCACCTCCCTCCCAGCAGTGTGGGGCTGCGTGGTGCGGGGTCCCCACTTCCACCAGGGCTCCTGGGGGTGCGGTCTCCTCGCACCTGCGGCGCGGGCCGGGACGGGCAGCCAGCACTCGCCGAGCGGGGGGCCCCGCGCGTGCCGGGCCTCGGCTCCCCGATGCGGGGCGCGTCCATGGGCAGCCCGTGGAACAGCAGCGCCAGCCCCGGGGGCGCGGCGGAGCCCCAGCCGGGGTGGGCCCCGCTGCCACCCTGCGATGCGCGCCGGTGCTCGGCCTTCCCCCTGGGCGCTCTGGTGCCCGTGACTGCCGTCTGCCTGGGCCTGTTCGCCGTCGGGGTGAGCGGCAACGTGGTGACCGTGCTGCTGATCGGGCGCTCCCGGGACCTGAGGACCACCACCAACTTGTACCTGGGCAGCCTGGCCGTGTCCGACCTGCTCATCTTGCTCGGACTCCCCTTCGACCTGTACCGCCTGTGGCGCTCGCGGCCCTGGGTGTTCGGGTCGCTGCTCTGCCGCCTGTCGCTCTACCTGGGCGAGGGCTGCACCTACGCCACGCTGCTGCACGTGACGGCGCTCAGCGTGGAGCGCTACCTCGCCGTGTGCCGCCCGCTCCGCGCACGCGCGCTCGCCACCCGCCGCCGCGTGCGCGCGCTCATCGCCGCGCTCTGGGTCGTGGCGTTGCTCTCCGCCGGCCCCTTCTTCTTCCTGGTGGGCGTCGAGCAGGACCCGGGCGTCCTCGCCATCCCGGAGGGAAATGGCACGGTTCTCTTCCACCCTTCAACTCCGGCCTGGTCGTTGCCGTCTCTCGGGTGGTCGGGGTGGCCGCCACTGCCCTCGCCGTCGGGGCCCGCGGCCGCCGCCGCCGCGCTGTTCCGCCGCGAGTGCCGGCCGAGCCGCGCGCAGCTGGGCGCGCTGCGCGTCATGCTGTGGGTCACCACCGCCTACTTCTTCCTGCCCTTCCTGTGCCTCAGTCTCCTCTATGGGCTCATCGGGCGCGAGCTGTCGAAGAGCCGGGGGCCCCTGCAAGGCCCCGCCGCCTTGGGGAGGGAGCGGGGCCACCGGCAGACCGTCCGTGTCCTGCGTAAGTGACGCCCCAAGTCCCGGCTCCACCGGAGCGCTCGCCCGCCTCCCGCCGGCCCTTTCCGTCTGCGGGGGCGCCCGGGGCCCCGCTCCCGGACCCCGGGCGCCCCCGAGGGTGGGAGTTCCAGATCTAGTAAACAACTCCAGAATGGGTCTTAATCCAGCGGCCGGTCCCTGTGAGATGCCGCAGGTGTGCATTAAGCACTGTACCCCGAGAGGACCGCGTGGGGAGACTGTATTCAGCTAAAGATTTATTATTATTATTATCATTATTGTTAAAAGTTACTGGCCGGGCGCCTGTGGCTCACGCCTGTAATCCTAGCTACTCAGGAGGCTGAGATCTGAGGATCATGGTTCTAAGCCAGACCGGGCAGGAAAGTCCATGAGACTCTTATCTCCAATAAACCACCATAAAACGAGAAGAGGCGCTGTGGCTCAAGCGGTAGAGCGCTCACCTTGAGCTGAAGAGCGCAGGGACAGCACCCAAGCCCAGAGTTCAAGCCCCACAACCAACGAAAAAAAAAAAAAAACCAAAACCGGCGGTTAAAGGGAAATATGTCCCAACCAAAAAGTCAAAGATGGGGCTGAGAAGGTGGCTCAGTGGTAGAGCGCTTGCCTTGCATGCCTGAGGCCCTGGGTTCGATTCCTCAGCACCACATAAGCAAAAAGAAAAAAGCCGAAAGTGGCGCTGTGGCTCAAGTGGTAGAGCGCTAGCCTTGAGCTGAAGAGCCCCCCTGCCCAGAGTTCAGACCCCATGACTGGACCCCCCCCCCAAAAAAAAGTCAAAGATGCCAGGCGCTGATGAATCATGCTTGTAATCCTAGTCCTAGCTACTCGGGAGACCAAGATGGGGATCATCGTGTTTTGAGGCCAGCCCTGAGAATTTTACCTTGAGGGAAAAAAAAAAAAAGCTCAAAGACAGCACCTAGGCGCTGAGGTCAAATCCCAGGACACAGGGAGAGACAGAGAGGGAGAGGTTGTCAGAACTAAGAATGCGTCTCTGAAGCTGGTTTGGGAAAGGAAGCCTGCCAAAACAGCTTTTTAGAAGGACTTGCCCCTTCTGGTTTATGCCCAACCTTGATAACACATGAGCCTGACAGGCAGTTTTGAAGCAAATATCCATGCAGTGAACAACCTCACCCACTTCATGGAGATCTGGCTTAGTAAAAGGTTCTAATTTATTTGCCATGTAGTTTCTTGGGAGGCTTATTTGATTTTTTTAATTTATTTTTTTATTGTGAAAATACCGTACAGAGGGGTTACAATTACATGGTCAAGGTAATGAGTACATTCTTATCAAGCATTGTTGCCTCCTCCTTTGTTTCCCCTTCCCATCCCTTCCCATCTCCCACCCTCAATCCCCCCCAAAGTTGTAAAGTTCGTTTTTTGACATAACAAATTGTACATCTCATTGTTGCAATGGGTCCACCCGTATCCCTATTTAAACGATGTTTTTTCTCTTCCCCTCCACAAATTATACCAACATCAAATACAGTGACAGCAGGGGTTATACTGTGGGGGAGGGACAAACAAAGCAACAAAGAAATCATCTTTAAAATATGTTAGAAACAATCACAAGAAAGAAAAAACATTTGAATACTTATCTTGGGGTTCATTTCACCTAACATCATCTTATCTGACCTTTTCTGCTTGTCTCAGACATACATTAGTTATTGCAAATGAGGGAAACCATGGGACCTATTTTTCTTTGGGCCTGGCTTACTTCACTTAATATTATTTTTTCCAAGCCTTTCCATTTCCTAACAAATGGGGCAATGTCATTCTTTCTGATGGAGGCATAGAATTCCATTGTGTGCATATACCACATTTTCTTGATCCATTCATCTACTGAGGGGCATCTGGGTTGGTTCCATATCTTAGCTATAGTAAATAATGTTGCAGTAAACATAGTTGTGCTGGTAGCTTTAGTATGGTCTTTTTGTGATCATTTTTTATGTGTTGTTGTTTTGCTAATTCGGGCACCTGTGTCTTGTTTTGCAGTGGTGGTGGTTCTGGCATTTATAGTGTGCTGGTTGCCTTTCCACGTTGGCAGAATCATTTACATAAATACAGAAGACTCCCGGATGATGTACTTCTCTCAGTACTTCAACATTGTCGCCCTGCAACTTTTCTATCTCAGCGCCTCCATCAACCCAATTCTCTACAACCTCATTTCCAAGAAGTATCGAGCAGCTGTTTGTAAATTTCTGCTCACAAGAGAGTCCAGGTAGAGAGGTTTGGGAAGAAGCCCAGACACTGGAAGGGATGCAGGGGGGAGGGACACTGCTGGTTACACAGAGACAAGAGCTAACACAAAGATGATGACCTAAACAGTACAGCCAAGACACTTCTGGGACTTTGGAGATGACAGGTCTATACATAAATTGAGTCTGGTAATGGAGGAGTGGATGTCCTTAAAAAGAATGGAAAGTATGATTGAAAACTCACAGGTTGGTTAAGAAAATGTCCATGTTTCCTTTTTAACCAAGCTTTTCTAGTTTCCCTTTAATCAGTCTCTGCTCCCTGTATCATCTTGAAATCTCAACATCACAGAACAGAACATGCTATTGGAAATTTTAAGTCTTTTTGTGGGTCCTAGGACTTGAACTCAGGGCCCAGACACTGCCCCTGAGATTTTTGTATTCATATCTAGTACTCTCTACCCCTTGAGCCACATCTCCATTTCTGGCTTTGTGTGTGTGTGTGTATGGTTAATTGGAGATAAGAGTCTCAAGGACTTTTCTTCCTGGGCTGGCTTTGAATGTGATCCTCAGATCAGCAGGAGCCACTGGCACCCAGCAGGTTTTAAGTCTTAATTCAGTCTTTTGCACTTTAGGAATATGGCTGCTCATTTTATAGATAATTGATGCAGAGAGATCTCTGAGATCAGAGATAGGTTTTATTTGGATTTTTGAAATATAAATATAGTATGCCTACCTATACAAGGAACTGGGAGGGGTTGGGTTCAAGAAATTATTTAATGCCTAAATGTGTTAATAATTCTTAAACACAGTAAGAATTTTAAGTAGGGTCCAAAGTTCTAGCAGTCCCACTATCTCCCAAGACTGGAAGCAAATCACAAAATTAGGCATAATGACATTCTTCCTCCTACCCCAAGAAGGACTCTACATAAATAAATCTGTGTCACAAACTCATTCCCTCCAAAACTCAGGCAACTGAGGCCTGAGATCAGGAGCTTGCTCTTCTAATATGACTTCTAACACAACCGTTGAACAGCGCTTCCATGTTTTATAATGGGCCTCAGCCTGGTGGGATGATAATCCATCATTTCTATCCTATTGAGTCTTAGATTTCCCATACAGGAGCCCCGAGAACCTGAATCTGAAATCCAGACTGAAGGATTTGCCTCTCCCCATCTTGCTCCATTCTTTCTATCTATCCAAAGATGGAATATGAATGATTGACCCCCTCCACCCTGTTTTCCCAGGTGCATACGGATGCCAGGCATACCACCAAAGATATGCACAGACTGCCTGACACCAGCAGGGCAATCTACTTAAGTCTGTAAAAATTCCATTGTGGGCCCAGCTGAAAAGCCCCTCGCCTCCCTAGACCTAATAGCTTTTTTTTTTTTTTTTATTAACCTCTGCCTCCTTGTTCAAACCTCATAAAAACCCAACTCCTGTCTCACTTCCTTTCACAGTCTCCAAGACCATGAGAAGGCTGTGCCCCTTGCTGCTATATCTCAATAAACAGTCCTTGCCTATGGAAGTTGGAATCCAGCCTGTTTCCTTCCTTCATTTCCTAAAACAGACTCCCACACTGAGGTTCTGTTCTCACAAATAACGAACAACAACAAAAAAACAAAAACAAAAAACCAGGAGTCAATGCATGAAAGGGAATATGTTGGATGTTCAGATTTTAAAAAGAAACTGAAGCTTTTTCTTATACCTCATTTGACAACAAAAACACATTTGCATGAGAGCTGCTGCCCTGCCACACAATTGCAAAGGGAGTTTCACACCTCTGTCCACAGGTATGGCACCCCCTGAATGTGGGCAGGGCACAAATCACTTAGTTGTACCTGGGGTCCTTTTGGGGTTTTCAGATTGATGGAATTCAAATGAAAATTACAACAGATTGTGTACATTTATGAAAAATTTGTTCTGGGATTGTCATGAATTTTCAAATCTACAAATACCAGAAAAAACATCAAATGCTTTCATCAGTTACTTTGGGGGGGGGGGGGGGCGGGAGGGAGGGAATGTGTTCCAGTACTTGAAGTCAGTGTCTGAGCTTTCTTCACTCAAGGCTGGCACTCTCCACCACTTGATCCACTTTTGGCTCTTTGAGGCTTGATTGGAGATAAAAGGCTCAGGGACTTTCTTGCCTGGGCTACTTCAAGCTATGATCCTCAGATCTCAGCCTCTTAAGTAGCTAGGATTATAGCTAGGTGTTAAGCCACCAGTGCCTGGGCAGGGTTAGAATTTTTTTGTGATTTTCCTTCAATTTCTATCAGGAGTATGGTCCCAATGAGACTGCAGTCTGGAGAGTTCTCTCCAGCTACTCACCATCTTGATGACTCTGCGCTGCAGCTTGATGTTTGACCATCAGTAAGTTTCTAAATCCCTTTATTTCACAGACCACTAAGAACTTCTATGAATCTTACAACTGCAAATGATGACTAAGCCATCAAGAGTCATCTTAAGATGCTGACCAAGTTCTGTAGTTCCTTCATCTTATTAATCAAACATAGGCAAGCATACTAAGTCACTGGCCTTGGCCTCAGCTGGAGTGCTGGAGTGAAGGAATCTCTTACCCCAAGTTCAATCCCCAGTACTACAAAAAGAAGAAGGATAATGGGCAAAGGATAAAGAGGGCAGGAGGAAGAAGACAGCCATCTCTTGAGGAAGCATTCCCTAAACTGGGTTCTGAAGGTCTTACAGATTCTTTGACATGAGGACTCTGTGGTCAAATATAGCAGAAATCACCAATTAATATTTTTTCTGTCATAAAAAATATAAGGAATTAGAGGCTTTAAGACATTGCATCATTGGGGATTTCTTTGATATATTTTATCCCAGAATCAACTCCCAGGCAACCTTCCCCAGAATCTTCACTAAGACCTATGGAATGAGGTACACTTCTGGAGACACCCATAGAGAGATGCTTATGGGCTGGGCCAGCATTGGCCTGCCACTTCTCTGTGTGGCTTACTGAGCTAGGATGACCTGGGATGAGCTGTTGCCGACTCTGCTCATGAGAGTTCCTCTCTGGAGTAGGCAGAAAAGTCACAGTGGAAAAGAAAACCTTACAGATAACTGTTTAATATTGACAGGAAAAAAAGCAAAGACTTCCCTGAACTTTCTCATTCAAATTGTAGAAAACAGGTATTTTTGTCATACTTTCCTGCAACCTAAGCACATCCCCAAGTAGAGGCCTCACTCTTACCTTTGCCACAGGTTCCCCAAGGGGCAGGGTCTGACACCCATCCTTCCCGCAGTTCCCTGCATGGTAGACTGTGAAATATAGTGTGCCACTTTTTCTTTACAGGAAGAGTGGGCAAGAAAAAACTAGTGTATAACACATCACTTGTAGTATAAGTGATTAATGTGTTGTGAAATTGTGTATATGTGTGTTGATACTGAGGCTTAAACTCAGGGTCTCATGCTTTCTGCTCTTGCTTGGCTTTTTTGCTCAAGACCGGTGCTTGAGTCACACCTCCACTTCTGGCTTTTTAGTGGTTAACTGAAGAGTCTCACTGACATTTCTGCTTAGGTTAGCTTTGCACCCTGATCCTCAGAGCTCACCCTCCTACATAGGATTACAGACATGAGCATGTATACATTGGTTGGTGTTTTTCTTGGTTCAGAAATTATATATTTTTGGGCTGGGAAGTTGGCTCAGTGGTAGAGCGCTTGCCTTGCATGCCTGAGGCCCTGGGTTCGATTCCTCAGCACCACATAAGCAAAAAAAAGAAAAAAGCCAGAAGTGGTGCTGTGGTTCAAGTGGTAGAGCGCCAGCCTTGAGCTGAAGAGCTGAGGGACAGTGCCCAGGCCCAGAGTTCAGGCCCCACAACTGGACCCAAAAAAAAAAAAAAAAGAAATTATATATTTTTTACTATGGATCATGGTCAAAATTTTTTGAAAAGTTGCTCTGAGTCCTACATTGTTCAGTCCAGCAGAGTAGCCTATTGTGCTGAGAACCGAGCTGGGTAGTCCCCAGTGACCTAGTCATGGGTCATTTAGGACAGCTCAGCTGTGTGTCATGGAGACTATGCCTGGCCACTGTCTCTTCCATGACAGAGTCATATGCTGATGTTCCAGCAATTTTTCTCTAAGTCTTTTCACTTTTACAGTAAAAGGCCAGAATACAGTGTGTTATGTGAACTGCCAGTATTGGGACATTTCATTCATTCACTTGGCAACTATTTACCAAGCAGCTGCTAAGTACCAGACGTATAGAACCAAATTACTAAAAAAAACTAATCTATATTATGACATCAGAAGCAATCAAATTTTTTTTTGTCAGTTGTGGAGCCTGAACTCTGGGCCTGGGTGCTGTCACTCAGCTCTTCAGCTCAAAGCTTGTGTTCTACCACTTTAGCCACAGTGCCACTTCTGGCTTTTTCTGCTTATGTGGTGCTGAGGAATCAAACCCAGGACCTCATGCATGTGAGATAAGCACTCTACCACTGAGCCACCTTCCCAGCCCCCAACCAACCTTTTAAAGCACGTTTTGTTTGGAAAATGTAATTGTGTCACTTTGACCATGATCTCAGCTCACAGGTTAAGAATGCATGTACATCAGAGGAAGAACAGATGTTGAACCCCTTCTCTCTCCTGTAAGAAGATGTCACTTTCAAAGGTAATGTTCAATGAGCTATTATTATCACCTCTCTAAATCTAAGGGGTACTGGGTCCATTTATCAAAGATGCACATGAGCTACTTGTTGGTGATGTTTGAGAGTTTGAATCTGCCCTCTCCTGACCCCTTGTGTTAATGTCATAATAAGACTTGCCAGTGGATGGGAGCTGTTTGTATTTAAGTGTTAATGCATAGGTCTAGAGGATTCAGAATGTCTTTAATTAAACATAGACATGATACAATTTTTTCATTGTGAGTCTACTTTCTAAAGGCCCTGAGCTCCAAACATTACAGAGTCCTGAATTAGCAGCAGCTGATTCCTTTTCTGACAGCACAAAAAAATCTGAGATAATGCTTGGGTGGCCAATGAAGGCCTTGTCATTTGCTCTATGCAAGAACCAGACTCTACCCACTGCTTTCTTAGGGAAAAATAAAAAACACTTTTAAAGAATACCAGGCCTGTACTCATTATCTTGCCCATGTAATTGTAACCCCTCTGTACAGTATTTTCACAATAATAAAAAAAAAGAATACCAGGCCACTGTGTGATAGGGATAAAAAGTGTCAGTTAGAGCAGAACTGAGTATGGACAGTCAGTCGGGGTGATTCACTGTGTAAGACCATTATCAGCAGCTGTTTAAAAATTAACACATGGGGCTGGGAAGGTGGCTCAGTGGTAGAGCGCTTGCCTTGCATGCCTGAGGCCCTGGGTTCGATTCCTCAGCACCACATAAGCAAAAAGGAAAAAGCCGGAAGTGGCGTTGTGGCTCAAGTGGTAGAGCACTAGCCTTGAGCTGAAGAGCTGAGGGACAGTGCCCAGGCCCAGAGTTTAGGCCCCACGACTGGACCCCCCCCAAAAAATTAACACATTTAATAGAAGCAATAGCAATCT